GCAGGAATACCGAACTCAGGAGTCCCCTGATGGAACCAACATGTCACACACATCACTGCACAGCAGGTCAGTGTCTGTCAGGCAGCCTGCACCGCACGCAGCCCAGAGACAGCGGCACCTTGTTTGCTCTGGCTCGTACAGGGTCTTTGTGTACAGACATGAAAAGACCTGTGCCGAGACTCTCCCACTGAGCTGCAGACCAACAAAAGCCTTGGTGTGAACATTAACTCCAAGCTGATTCACTAAGATTCACTGCCTATTGTATTAAAATACAAAATAATAATTGTATTTGCCATTTAGCAGAATCTAAGCCTCTCTTCCAGCAAGCAGAGCCAGCCTTTTTGTTCAGGGGTTTTAGGTGGCCAATCTTTATCACTCCTCTGACATTGACTAGATTTACAGTGCTGTTTGACATCAGCTGCATCTGGTGTAATTAATTCTTGATGTCCCCCAAGCATATATATACATACACACAGTCTGTATTGCTGGGCCTTGAGGAGTAACTTTAATAAGCAGAGTATACACTGTCAGAGAGCAGGGCAGGCTGCAAACAGGAGGAATTCTTAAGCTTAAGTCTTAGTGCAGGGCAGAAGTGGGTAAAAAATAAAAACAGGGGACGATATTTTACAAAAGTAAAAAAGGAAAAAAAAAACCCACCCAGTCTATTTGCCAATCACATCCCTGCCTCATCATCTCCTCAGCCAAGGATTTCCAAGAACTATGCTTTGCCTTATGCAAAAAAAGTAACAATTTACTGGGAAAATGTGATACAGAAACAGCAACAGTCTTCTTATACAGTTGGACAAGTCTGAACAGCTGAGTGTTTCTGCTAAGTACACCCTCCCCAGAGCACTCCTCGGCTGTCACTGTGACTAATTCGCTAGAAATGGCTGGAGGAACATTCCTTGGAGATCCACAAAAATAGATGCAGCACAGCTATGGGACCGCTTTGGGAACAGAGATGCATGGTCAAACCATTGTCCCGAGGCCCCTCAGCAGAGCACGCAGTCACAGCCACCGCGGGTACCCCGTGGTGCCTTCCCTCCCACGGGCCAGGCAGAGCTGCCAGCGGCCGGGAACGGGTTCTGCTCTGATGTGAGCGCCTGGGCAGGCTTGACCCACTTCACCTTGCCCAGGCAGGATGGGATCCTGTCTTGAGAGGACACTGGGGTGAGGCCGCAGATAAGCCTCCTCTGAGCTCTGCACCTCTGCGTCCTTCTCATAAACGGGTGATCTCCCGCTTCCACCAGCCCCAGCATTTCACTGCCTGCCAGGGGTCAAGCATTTGAGCCACCCAGGATTGAGACCGCGCTGCTCCAGCACGGAGAGGACCCCGCGCTGATCTGGAAGGGACTGAACTGAACCTCCCGACGGGAGCAGCCCGGGCCGGCTCAGCCTGTCGGGGAGGCTAACGGGCTCCGCGGGGGCCGTGAGCACAACGCCGCGGGGGGCTGAGAGATGCGGGCCCGGAGCGCTGGGCCCCGATGCCCGAAGGTCGCGGC